CCCCTTTCTTCCCCCCCCTTTTCTTTTGCGCCCCCGTCTCCCTTTCCCTCGCGCGCTTCCGTCCCGTGCTCCTTCGCTCCTTTCGCTCCTTCCCCCTCGTGCCTTCCGGTCGCCCCTCTCGTTTCGCCTCCCGGCTTCGTGCGCCTCTCCGCCCTTGGTTTTCCGTCGGGCTCTCTTCGCTCTTCCGCTTTTTCTTTTCCCCGTGCTCCCTTCTCCGTGCTGTCGCCTGTCGCTCTGTTTGGTTCTTGCGTGCCGCCCCGGCTTGTGCGTGCTCGCGCTTGCCCTCGTCTTCTCCCCCTCCCTCCTCCCGTCCTCCCCCTTCCCTCCGTCCTCCTTCCCTTGTTGCTTCCTCCCCCCCTTTGCGCCCCCCCCTTCCTGCCGCCCTCTCTTCGGCCTCGGCGGTCCTCGTTGCGCTGGCCTTTTGCTTTTTGCTGCCCCCCGCCCCCCGCCTTCCCCCCCGCCCTGGCCTGTCCCGGCCGTGCTTTTTCTGTCTCTTTTGCCCCTGCCCCCTCCGCCTCTGCCCCCCGTTCGCGTCCCCTCTGTCCCTTTTGGCTCCCCCCTCCCCCTTGCTTGTGCCTTTCCGCTCTCGTCTGCTCTTCTTTGTTGCGGTGCGGTGGCTTTCTTTTGGCTTTGCTTGGCCTCTTGCCCCCCCCCGCCTCCGCCCTGTCCGGCCTGCTTGCCGTCCGCTCTCGCCGCGCCCCCCTCCTTCCTCTCTCTTTTGTTTGCTCGCCCTCCTTTCCCTCTTCCTCTTTGTCTCGCCTTCTTGCTGTGCTCCTTGGCCTTTTGCTCGCTGCTTTTCCCTCCCGGCCCCCTTCTTTCTCCCGTCGCGGGTGTCCTTTGCTTGCTTGCTGCCTCCTCCTTCTTTCCGTTGTTTGCCTTGTCCGCCCCCGCCGTCCTTCCCTTCCCCCCTCCTGCTCCTTTCGCCTTTCTTCTGCCCTCCGCTTCGCCCCTTTCTCCCCCCCGCCTTGTTCGTGCTTCCCCCCCTCCTCTCCTCCCCCCTCTCTTTGCCCTCCTCCCCTCTGCTCCCCTCTTGCCTTCTCCCTCGCGTTTTGTCCCCCGGCCTTTGGTGCCTCCCCGCTTCTCCCGCCCCTTGCCCCCGTCTCCTCCCCCGCTCTCGGTGCTTGTTTCCCCCCTCCCCTGCCTTTTTCCGTTTGTCGCCTTTCTCCCCTTCGCCTTTTCCCTCCCCCCTGGGGTTGTTCGCCCTCCCCTTCTTCTTCGCGTCGCCCCTTCCCGCCTGCGCTTTTTTCCCGTCCCTTTGCTCCCCGGTGCCCTCTTTGTGTGCGGCGTCGGCTCGGCCCCTTCTGCTTGCTTCCCGTCGGCCCCCGGTGCCCCGTTTCCTCCCCCTCTCTTCCTTCTTCTTGCGCGTCTCCTTTTGCCCCGCGCCTTGCTTTCTTCCTCCCCCTCCCGCCTTCTTCGTTTGCTTTGTTCCGGCCGCCCCCTTTGGTTCCTCCCCCCTTGTGGTTCGCCGCGGTCTTGGCCCCCGTTCCCCCCCTCCTTTCTTTTGCCTTGCTCGCGCTCCTCTTGCCTCGCCTTTCTCCCCTCCGGCTCCTTGCGCGCTTCGTCCCTTTCTTTTGGTTCCCTCTGCGCTCGCTCCCCGTGCCCCCTGCTTCCCTGGTCGCTGCTCTTGTTTTCCCGCCTTCCTGCCTCTTCCCCCTCCTTCCTTCTGGCGGGTGCTTTTTGCGCCCTCTTCCCTCTGGTTCCCCTGGGTGCCTGGTCCTGGGTGGCTCCCTTTGTTGTGTCCTGGCGCGTTGGTTCGCCTTTCCCCCTTCCTTCCTTTTGCCTTGCCCCCCCCTTCCCCCTCCCCTTGCTCCCTCCTTGGCCCCCGTCCTGCCTCTCCTTCCCCCGTGCGGCCTCCCTCCCCCCTTCTTCTTCCCCGCCTTTCCCCTTCTTCTGCTGCGGGCTGGGCTTTTCTCGCGCCTTCCTTTCCCCCTCCTCCCTTCCCTGCCCCCCCTCCTCTCCCCCCGTCTCCTTCGTCTCCCCCCCTCCTCTGCCCCTTGTTCCCCTTTTGTGCCCTTTCTTCGTCCCGTGCCTCCTTTTGCTCTGTGCTTTTTCCTCCCCTCCCCGTGTCTGGCTTCTTCCCCCCCCTTGCTCTTTTCTTCCCCCCTCTGCCCCTTTGCTGGTCGCTGCCTCTCCTCGCCCCCTTCCTTCCTCTGCCCGCTCCTCCCCGCTTTTCGCTGCCCTTTCTCCTTCCTCTGCCTCCCCCCTTTGCCTCCCCCTCTGCCCCTCCCCCCTCTTTGGTTTTCTCCCCTTTCTCGCTCCTCTGGCTTCTTGTCCTGCTTCTGGCTCCTGCTTCGCTTTTGCGTGTCCCCCCGTGTTGCTCGCTTCCGCCCCCTCGTTTCGGGCGCCCGGCCGCCCTCCTCCTCCCTCGTGCGGCTTCTTTGCGCGTCCGGTTTCTTCTTTCGGCCCCCCCCCGTTTTGTTGCGGTGTTCTTGCGGCCGCTCCTTGCTGCGCCCTTCCCTGTGCCTTGCCCCCCGCTTGTCTCCCTCCCTTCCCGCCCTCGGTTCCGCGCTCCGTTCGTCTTTTTGCTCTTTGCCCTTCTTTCTCCTTTTGTCGTTGCTTCCCCCGCTTCGGTCGCCCTTGCTCCCTTCCTTTTTCTTCTTGCGCCCCCGGTCCCCGTGTCCCTGGCCCCTCCTCCCCCCCCCCGCGCGTCTCTTTCTTCCCCCTTCCCCTTCTTGGCTCCCCCCGTCCCCTCCGTCCCTCTGTCGTCCGCTTCGCGGTCTTGCCGTTGCCTCGTGTGTCTTTGCTTTGCCTGCTGCTTTGCTTTGCTTTCCGCGTTGGCCTGCCTCCCCCCTTGGTCCTTCTTGCCGCTCCTCTCTGGCCCGCCTTCTCCTCGCTTCTTCTTTGCCCGCTGCTTGCTCGTCTTGCCGTTTCCGTGGTTGCGCTTTCTGTGCCCTTCCCCCTTCGCTTCCTTCGCCTTTCTGGCCCTTCCGCCCCCTGCCTCTTTGCTTGTGCTCCCCTCCCCCCCTCCCTCTTCTTTTCGTTTTTTCCCGCTCCGCCCCCTCTCCTTTGTGCGCTCCTTTTTGCTTCGGCCCTTCTCTTTCGCCCCTTCTCCCCGCTCGCCTTTCCCCCCCCTTGCCTCGTGCTCCCCCCTTCCCTTTTCCGCCTTCCCGCCCCGCCCCTCTTCCCTCTTCCCCCCTTTTTCTTGCTCGTGCCCCTCCTTTTGTCCTTCCCTCCTTTTGCCACCCTTTGCCCTGCGTCCTATTTTCCCCCTTTTCCCCCCTTGCCCTTTTCTTTCCCGTCGTCGTCGCCTTCGTCCGCTTTTGCGGGGTTTGCGCCCCTGTGGCGTCCTCCCCCTTCCGTTCTCTCTCCTGCTGGCTTTTGCCTGCTCCCCCTTTTCTCTCTCCTTTTCGCCGCCTTCGTGCCCGTCGCCCTCGTCGCTCTCCGCTTCTGTTCTCTCCCCTCTCTCTCCTTTTCCCCTCTTCTTGCCGCTGCCTCTTTTCCTTCTTCCCTTTCCTCCCTTCCCGTCCCGCCTCTTGCCCTTTTTCTCCTTCTTTTTCTTTTTCCGCCTTCGCCTCTTCTTGCGCTCCTTGCGTTGCGGCTGCGTGCGCCTCCTCTCTTGCCCTTCTCGCCTTCGCTTGTCCTCGCTTCCCGCCCCCGCCGCCTTCCCCTTGCCCGCCTTCGCTGTTCCCTCTTCTTCCTCTGCTTCCCGCGCCCTCCGCCCCTCTTCCCTTGTCCTCCCCTCCCTTGCCTTGCCTCTTCGCGCGTCTCCTCCTCCGCCTGCCCTTTCCTCGCTTGCTGCTGCCTCCTCCGCCTCCTCCTTTTCGTTTGGTTCGTTGCTCCCGCGCGCTTTTCTTTTGTCGCGCTTGCCCCTTTTGCTTTCGGCTTTGTTCGGCGTCGCTTCCCCCTTTTTGCCTTGCTCCTTGCTCCCGCTCGGCTCCGGCCCCTTTCTTTTCCCCTGTCCGGGTTTGCGGCCCTTGTCGCCCCCCTCCTTTTTTCTTCGCCTTTTTCTTCTTGTGTTCTGCGCGCGCTGCCTTTTCCCCGCGCCGCCTTTTTGTTGTCTCCTTTTCGCCTCCCCTTTTCCTTTTTTCCCCCCGCGCCCCTTGTTCGTCCGTCCTCCCTCCCCTTCTTTTCTCCTGCCCTGGCGGTTGCCGGTTGTTCGGTTTCGCGCCGCCTTTCGCGCTTCCTGCCCTCCTCCTCTTTGGCCTTCCTTTCGCCCTCCTCTGCTTTTCGCTCCCTCCCTCCTTTGTCTGTTGCCCCCTTCTTCGCTCTCGGTGCTCGCGCCTCGCCGTCCCCTTCCTCTCCCCTGCCGCTGGTCCGCCTCGTCGGCTTTTGCGCTTCCTTTCTTTTTGGCTCCTCTTTTTGCCCCGCTCCCTCCTCTCTCCCCGCCCTTTGCTCCTTCGCGCTTCCCTGTCTGCCCCCCTTTCCTTTGCGCGCCTTTTGCCCTCTTCCCCCTTCTTCCTGGCGCTTGTGCGCTTCTTGTCTTTTTCTTGTTCCTCTCCTTCGCCCCTCTGCTGCGCGTTTCCCCCTCTTTCTTTGGCCGTGCCCCCTTTCGGCTCTTCGGCCCTCTTGTCTCCTCCCCGGCTTTGCCTCGCCTCTCCTTGGCCCTCTTGTCCCGCTTCTTCCGCGTTCTCTCGTCCGCTGTCCCTTCCGGTTTTGGCTTTTGTCCGTCCTGTGGCGCCTCCGGGCTCTCCCCCCGCCGTCTTGCTTTTCCTCTTTCTCTCGGCCCGTGGCCCTCCCTTCCCCCCTTTCCTCGTGTCCCGCCGCTCCGTGTCCCCTGCCTCCGCCCTTTCCCCTCCTCCCTTTCTCCCGTGCGCCTCCTCGCTTTTGCGCTCCCTCTTTCTTCCTCCTCCTCCCGCGCGCTCTGCCCGCTTCCTCCCCTTCCCCCCTTTGTCGCCTGGCTCCGCCTCGCCGTCCCCCCGTTCCCCCGTTGGCCCCGTGTTTCCTCCCCCCCCCGGTTGGTCCCCCTGCCTCCCCTCGGCTCCCGGCTCTGCTCCCCTTGTTGGTCCCCCCCGCGGTCCGGTGCCCGTCTCGCGGGGGGGGGGGGGGGGGTGCCTCGCCTTTCCCCCTTTTTCGCCCCGCCCCCCCCCTTGCTCCGCCCGCGCTCCCCCCCTCTTCCCTCGCTTGTTCGCGTCTGGTGCCCCGCGGCCCTCCCTCCCCCTCCCGTGTGTGTGCGCTTGTGTGCGCCGTCTCTCTCGTGTCGCGCGCCTCTGTCCCGCGCGTCCGTCCCGCCCGCCGTCCCGCCCCCCGCCCCTTCTCGTGGTTCGCGCGGTGGTGTCCTCCTCCTCCTCCCCTTGCTCTTCTCTCCCGCGCCCTTCCCTCTCTCTCCCCCTCCTTGGTTCCCCGCTCCCCTGCCTTTCCGTGCTCTCGTGCTTTGCTCCCCCCGCCCGCCCTCCTCCCGCCCCGTGCCCCCCCTGCTGCTTCGGGTTTCCCGTCGCCGCGCTCCTCTCCCCGGCTTTCCCGCCTCCGTTCCTTTCCCCCGTCTTCCCCCTCCGGTCGCCCCGTCTCCCGTGCTCTGTGCTTTGCTCCCCCCCGCCCCCCCTCCCGCCCCGTGCCTCCGCCCTGCTGCTTCGGCTCTCCCCGCTCCGTGTGCCCCTCCCGGCTTTCCCCGCTCCGTGCTCCTTTCCTCCCTTCTCTTGTTTTGCTCCCCCCCGTGTTGTCTTGCTTCCCCCTTCTGCGCCTCTGTCGCTGCTCTTCCCTGCTGCGCCGGTCTCTTTGCTGCCGCTCCCCCCTCTGGCCTGCTTTCTCTTGCTCGCTCTGCGTGTTTTCTCTCTTTGCCTCTCTCCCGTCCCGCCCTTGCTTTTTGCTCTGCTTTGCTCTGTTTCCGCCTCTCCGCCTCTTTTTCTTTGCCGCTCTCTGCGTTCTTTTTCTTTTCTCCCTTCTCCCTTGCCGCTTTTTGGTCTGCTCTGTCCCCCCTGCGCTTTTTGCTCTCTGCTCTTTCCCGCTTCTTGCTCTCTTCGCTCTTGCTTCGCCTTTTCTGCTCTCTTGTTCGTGCGTGCTCTCCTCTTCCTTCTTCCCGTCTTCCTCTCTTCCTTTTCTCGCTGGTCCTGCGCCTCTGTCCGTTGGCCCGCGCCGCTCTCCTTTTTGCCCTCTTGTCTCTTTTGTCCGCGCTCTTCTCTTCTCTTCTGCCCCGCTGTCCGCCCGGCTCCGCTCGCCGTTGC